TCTTGAGCATTTATTTCAGGATTGACTTTCTCATTAGATTGAGATTTATCAATGCCATTCTTGATATTTTCATGATTATCATCATTAATTCCTCTTTTCTTTCGAGGATGTTTGTCTTTGGAACCAAGTGGTCTACCACGCTTCAAGCGTGTTGCTGATTCATTAGCACTTCCAATTTGTCCATCAGGGACAACTATTTTAGCCGGAGCACTAGCAGCTTGGATATATGATCGAGTGACTTTACTCGAGTTATTGAATGCATCCGGTAACTGATTTGCAATATTTTGCAAATGTATAATGCGTTGAACTTCTAGTTCACACTGCTTTTTACGAGGATCACAAATATTCAATGGGATTTTTCAATTAATATCCCTTTTTGGTTCATTTCTGTCTCCCCCTAATGTCGGAAAATGTGATTCATCAAAATGACAATCTGCAAATCTTGCAGTGAATAAATCACCCGTCATAGGTTTAAGATATTTTATAATTGACGGCGATTCATATCCGACATAAATGCCCAATCTATGTTGAGGACCCATTTTTGTACGTTTGGGGGGTGGAATAGGAACATAAACAACACACCCAAAAATACGTAGATGAAACATATTTGGTTCGTAACCAAATACTAACTGCATAGGGGAATAACTATGATAGCTTGTCGGCCTCATTCTTATAAGTGTTCCTGCATGTAAGATTGCATGCCCCCAAGCTGAAACGAGCAACTTAGACCTCATCAGTAATGGTCTAGAAATCAATTGCAATATTTTAATAAGTGATTCTGCCAGGCCATTTTGTGTATGAACATGAGCAACTGGGTGCTCTACATTAATTCCAATCGACATGCAATAATCATCAAATGCATTCGATGTATATTCACCAGCATTATCTAGACGTATGGTCTTAATTGGATTATTGGGGAATTGTGCCCGTAATTTAATAATTTGGGCAAACAATCTCGCAAATGTCATATTGCGAGTAGATAATAAACAGACATGTGACCATCTGTAGATGCATCAATAACCACCATAAAATATTTAAATGGTCCACACGGTGGGTCTATTGGTCCACATATATCCCCGTGTATTCTTTCCAATAATGTAGGTGATTCAATACCTACTTTAGATGGCGATGGCCTGGTTATCAATTTTCCCTAAGTGCAGGGAACACAGGTTAACTCATTTGAGTTTAACACTTTTTGACCTTTTAATGAATAGCCATGCAAATTCTAAATTATTCGCCCATTATTATACTGTCAAGATGCCCAAGGCGATCATGCCATATTTGAAATCGGTAATCTTTTGATCTACCGTGAGGTGTTTCAATAACACCTAATCTGGCATAATATAAGCCAGTAGAGAGTGATGGTAATCTCTCAATGATGCATTTCCTTGTATTAATGATATTGGTGATCAATAAAAATTAACCATCGGTATCACTCATAGTTTCAATGTGATAACCATTTTTAGTGGCCAACAGTGCATACTGTATCACAATTTTCGTCCCCGCGGGGAAAAATATAATGGCTTCTCCAGAGCCTTCAATTAATTTTGCAATGCCACATATTGTATTGACATTCATCTTTTCCCTTTTCAAATGGGAGTAATATTTTTCGTGTTTCAATATAGTATGTGTCGTTGCATTGTCAATGAAACACATATTTGTATCATTTTGTTTGACATCCATTTAACCTTCAAATATAAATAAACATAATATTAATAAACGCAAATATAAATATTACAAAATGCATTACAAAAAAGGCAGTATGCGATAATTTAAATATTACAAAATATAAAATGACATAGTATGTCTGTCACTGGGGATTTGTTGGATCTACGAAAAAATCTGCTATTTCAAGATGCGTTGTGTCGTAATCCAGAAGATCAGCATCGGGGTCGTCATCATTATCAACATGATTTGGCTCGACCTCCTTCCCTTTTTTCTGCAGTGAGGCTTGATAAAGATCGGCTAGGTGTTTGGCTGTTCTGCAGGTATTGACCCAATGGCCTTCAATGCCACACTGATTACAAATGCCGATTTGCCTCTTTCTCTATTTAGCCTTTTCGGCTATATCCCTATATTGGGGTTTACTCTGCATCCTGTTAATGTCAAAATTTCGGCGATTGTAAGGGGTATATCAACCGCGTTGACTCTCACGACCGCAACCACGTCCACGACCTCTACCACGTCCTCGGCCTCGTTCAGAAAATATCACGTTCGCTTCAGGGAACGGACTAGAAGCAGTGGGCCGGGACTGATGATTTTTCATCAGTAACTTATTATTTTGCTAAGCTAATAAAAGACATGCAATAAGCTGTGAGTATTTTTCAAAGTTTTTCTCACGATACTGCTGTTGCAGCACAACATTAGAAGCCTGGAAGGTAGAGAGAGTCTTTTCCAATTTATCATTCTCAGTAACATTTTCTCCGCAGAGTTTTAACTGAGATGTAATCTGATGGATACCAGAGTTGTACTTTGTAACAGTTTTAAAATCCTGCAACCGCAGATTAAGCCAATCATGTCGGGCTTTCGGGAGAGTGATATATTTCAAGTGCCCAAATCTCTCCCTCAATTCATTCCACAAATCTAGTGGATCTTTCACCGTCAAATATTCAGACTGTAGAGGAATGTCCAAATGATGACGGATGAAAATTAGCCCGATCTTGGCTTGTAGCCGCATTTTCACTGGCAATTGTATGAACAAGGCCCATAGAAGTCAGATGCATTTCTACATCCAAGGACCAAGTCAGAAAATTATTGCCGGTGAGAGACAGAGGTTTAAAAGAAAATTTTGCAAGGTTTTCTATAATTTAAAAAATAGATAATATAGATAGTATAAAAATAAAACTTACCAAAAATAAAATAGGCAAGAACTTTCGTGCTGATAATGTGTTATATAATACTCCCTCCATCCCAAACACCCTGCAACATTTCTTTTTTTATTTGTCTCAAACTCACTGCAATATCTATATACATATATTAATATACATTTTACTTTATCCCATCACATCACTCAAATAAAAAAAATAAATAATCATTTGTCTCTCCAATCACATCACTTAATATTCAAATTATCTCAAATTATCTCAAATTATTATACTTAATACTCCCCACCTAAATTCCCGTGCCAAACACAAATGTTGTACGGTGTTTGGGATGGAGGGAGTATATAACAATATAATATAGTTGGTAAGTATTAAGTATATATATATGAATGTGTATGTGATATTTAATGTATATAGTATTTAAAAGATATATAGATATATATAGAGAGAGTGAGTGTGGGAAAGAGGATTATGAGAGAAGTCGTGCGCCGATATGAATTGATGCCTACTCCATTTCATTCATTTTGTATATATATATATATATATATATAGGAGAAGCAATATACAATATATGACTGTAACGCATCCACATCAAGGACAGGTAGTGCCTGCATATACATTTGTTGTACAATAATATCATATAAAAAGCAAAATTTAAAAATTACCCTAATAAATATTACACTATCCGTTTTTCTATTGAAAACGTTACCGTCCAATTAATTTTTTAATTATAAATGTAAACAATGAAATAATGAAAAAAAATTTGTTCACTTTTTATGGAATATTATTTTATTCAATATCTCAATTTTCCTTCGTATCCAATAAATGTTTTTCTATAAAACAACATTTACCTAACTAAAATTTTTAGACATATTTTTCAATTATTATTATAAAAAAATATAATATATATTTACACAGTAAATTAGTCATACATATATCGTGTATATACACCATATAATGTCATAAACAAATAAATTACAATTTGCTTATTTGGGAATTTGAATTTTGAAATTGAGTATTAAATAGTAAAATTTTAAATTTAAATCATTCCGTGATATAATATAAATAAATATTAATATGATGTGAATAATATAAAATTAATTTGTATGTAATATAAAAAATTAATTTTAATTAAATAGCATATGTCGTAATTTTGCAAATTTACTACTATATGTAATAGATATGGGGTGTGTTTGCTACATAAAGGGCTCGATCTTTTGTGTTTGGTACATAAAAGTTCAAATCTAATATCTCATTTTAAACAATTTCAAATCACAACCAAACAAATCCAAAGTAATTTAATGAGAATTATATATATATGTATTGAAGTATAATAGATAATTCAAAATAGATATATAACAAAGAATTAATTGTCATTTATTCAAATTTTAATTTTAAATGTAGATATCACTACCAAAAAAATCATTTTCTGCTACGGTTGGAAATTCGTAACAAAAAACCAATTTTCGTGTAATTTGCATATTTGCTACGCCTCAGTGACGACTTTTATCCGTAATGTGTACTCACGTAACGAATGTTTTTTGTCACGCACATTTTCGTAACTACTACTCTCGGTCAACGTTCCTTATGACAAGCTTTTTGTTATGATATTTGTTACAAATATTCGCTTGTAATAAAAAGTCGAGCTTTCCATGCATGTGCCAGGTCTTTTAGTCACGATATTTGTTACAATAGTTCCTCGCGTTACCAAAAAATTTACTATGATCGCTTCTCAGAGTACGTTTTTTGTTACGATTTTTTGTTATATCATTGAAGCCTTAATAAACAATATATTCTCTTATGGTCACGAAACCGGCCGTAACAAAAATATCCCTTCATATTTGTTACATCCAAAAACCACTCTTTGTTACATCATTTCATCTTTTTGTTACGTCATTTATTTTTTTGTTACGTCATTGAACCCTTAAAAAAATATCAATTGTTATGGTTACAGAACCGGTCGTAACAACAAACACCCAAACCGACATTTTGTTACGTTATTTCTCGCTTTTGTTACGAAAAAATAGGGTCTCATAAAAAAGAGTAGTTGTGGAACAGTTCAATTTGTGCGTAACAAATTGACCTGTTGTGATCTTTCTTATACAACCATGCTATAAATATTACGATCGGCCATAATTGCAAACAATAAACACTATAAGAGAATCCCAACATAGGATATTAACATAACAATATTTATTAGTCGATGTCCTCCACCAAAAAACAAAGTAAATCAACCCATCAAACAAGGCTAGAAACATCTCCACTTGACATTATGTTCTGCAAAATACAAGCATTTCAAACATCCAACCTACTAATAAACAAGTGGGGAAATCCATCAATCCATGACAACAATTCTTACCACACAAAATATACATCCAAATGTCTATGCATCTATTCCAAAGGTATTTCACATAACCATTAGAACCTACCATCCAAGCACATCCACGACATGCAATTGATAATGCAAACAAAGGCAAAACATAAAGGAACCGGTTGATATGCTTCAGGGGTGGCGCATGAGCTGCAATTATCAACAGAATAAGGTTTAGTTTAAGTAATAATTATTTTAATTTTGGAGTCAATACGTGAAAGTTGTGAAAGTAGATTTATATGTCCTTATAGTTCCACTCAATAGGATCTTCACCGACCACCTCGCGAAAGGTAGTTGCCCCAGAAATTGTCGGTAAAATAAGGGATGTGTCCGAGACTGTGGCAGATGTAACAAAAACCTTGACTAGGGAAAGTGTCACCTACAACATTCACAAGAGCAATTTAAAAGTATGTAGTTCACCGTATATATCAACAAATTAAACTGTATGTATAAACATGTCATAAATCATTTGAAGTGTATATTTCCCAACTCATATACCACGAGTATGTACATTCGGACATGTACTACGATACATGGTATTTGACCCATTAATTAGGCACCAAACTACACTACTTTCTAATTTTCAATGTATTTGCAACTCGAACTATAAACCAGCCATCCACCAATAAAACCTACGTAAAGCAGCAGATTATGTACAGTACTAAAATAATAATTTCAATAATTAATAAATCCTTATGGTTACCCCCAAATAGGATTGCTCCATGTATGTGTCGTAGTATCATGCCATTAAAGATTAATTATCATTTATGCACTAAATATGAGCAGACCCCCGCAGATGAGTTCAAGTTCAGAGTAACGACCACTGATAAATCAAAATATATGTTAGTGATCCTCATCACATAAAAACCTATTGTGTGCAGGTCGGGGCTACACAAATACTCAATAATAAAGCAATCATTCATCAGTTTTGGGACTGTAGTGTGCACCTAAATAGTATAATAACAACATAGCCATAAACAATGTCATGTCAGCGATCAAAAATATAAGATCAACACAGAATCGGCATTACACCAATATACCCATTGTCCCTATATTAACAACCTATATACATAATACTCTAATTGCCACATATGTCAAATTAAATATGCCCATACTCAATAAAACCATAATCAACTGCACTATGAGACATGTACGGTCACAACATCGACAATGCGGTATGAACATCATATTGAAGGATTCAAAAGAAAAAATTTAAGGCACAATGCCACGAACCTGGGGCAGGGGGGTAGAGCAGAAGTTCTTCAGCAACAATTTTCTTCTCTCCAGTACGAGATAATATAAGAACACGGGTGCCAACCTACAACAAAGATTGCAGAGGAGTTGAAAGCATACAGGTTGGAGATGAAGGTTAGCCTAAAGTTGACACTTAGTTAACTTTAGGGTTTCACGAAATCATACCATTATAGGTGATTCAAAGACAGACCTAAGAAGCTCAGAGACCGTATCAATACGAGCTGTGGCCAATGAAGAATAAACAAATCGTAGTGAATTTTTTAGCCATCCAAAGCTCGTGGGATGCAATTACAGAAAGTATGAATATTAAGAATACTTATAGATGGGCCACTAACTGCTCTGGAGTTTCTGTGCATGAATGCATACGCATCAGCCTTGATGGTTTTGAACTCTGCAAGTCCGCTCTGCATTTCTTCCCACCCTTGCTGGAATGCTACAGTATCTATTAAACCAGTTGCATCACTGCGGGGATGAGCTGAACTCGTAGCACTGTCAACCTTTGAGCATTGGAAGAGAGCTTCAAGCAAGCATTCCATCGATCAAAGACCGGAATGCATTTTTTGCTCTTTCCCCCAAGAACCCGTCGCTAAAGAGTCTCTCGAATAGCCGGAGTCCGCCCTTCTGGGGGAATCTTGTTTAGCTCATTCTGCAAATATGTCTACAAAAAAAGAATCAAATGAGGCCGACCTTGCACGTATAGTTATAGAGGTACTTAATGTCTAAATTGTACTAACATAGGGAATGAATTTATTATACCAATATCTCTTCGGTTTGTTGATTGTTTGTTCCCTTGCCTTGTGTCCGACTGGATATCCATATCTCTAAACTGTCGGGGTCCTTCCCCTTCACCTTGATCAGCATCAACACAAGGCATTGCGTCATTGAAAAAACCATCAAATATACAAAAGGAAAATGTAGGGATAGAGCATAACATAGAAACAAAAAAATTTGGACTGATTACTTAATTGTAATAAAAAGTACCTTCTCGGCGAGAGTCGTGAAGGACTTCCGCCTAGTACGATGCAGGAAGCTTCTTTACGTTAGATGCATTTTTCTTGGATTGAAGCTACATATATATGAATTATTTAGATCTCAAATAGGACTCTGCCAATATAATAATCAAATTATTGTTCGTTTATATTGCATACCTTAACCTTTTCATCATGCCAGTACTTGACCAACTTCGGCCATTGATCGGCCACGATCCAGCTTGAAGGAACCTTTTTCAATGCTTCATTGTCATCCTGGATTGGGTTGAAGTAAGTTGATTTGATGTTGTATTTCCCATGTCTCCAAACCTCCCTTAAGTCAGCCAAGACCATTTTTTCTGCTGAGTTTGGTAATCCGTTGTTGCTCTGGTAGGACATGTGGCGTGGTTATCGCCCCGTCCAAACAAGATAGTATGAGAATAAATAAAACTCTGAAAAAATTGAAGGAATTTATAATTAATGAACGTTGCATCACCTGAACCTCCATCCATGCACCATGTTTCTTTGTCTTCAGTATTTCAGCAAATGTCGAGTAATGCAGAGGAAGTCGAGCTCCATTGCGCGCAATGACCCTAATAGCGGTCTTGTACTCGTTTACTCAGGTCCAACAATGCTTTTGTCATCCGACGATATGAATACAAGTATCTTGTGATCTTTTCCCCATCCATATGGCATTTTCGCTACCCCCCTTCCCTGTTTTTTCTTTGAGGAACCAACTAATACAAAAAAGATATTATATGTTATTATAAGGAGCGTGTGCAGCACTTTCTTCATTAGTTAATGCAAAACATAAACTGTCAAGGATGATTTCCAAACCGCCATCTGATGTTATCCCATCTAAGTGTGCCATATCTCCCGCCTCTGTGTCTTCCATCGCCACAAGGTCGGGCCCCAATTCCCCACCCAAGAACGGCATATCACTCTCTGCAGTCTCCATGTCTTGCGTCGGTGGATTGTTTCGTCATCTACTTGTGTGGGGGGTATTGTCTCATCCTCATCTTGCATGGGTGCATTTGGTTCAAGGGAAGTTGGGATATCCCTAGCATTATGTTCTTGTTGGGTTTAATACTATTAGCACATTATGGACTTAAGACAATGAAAGTTAAGAACCAATCTACGCAAAAGAGCAACATTACCTCTGCAGGCTCCTGTGAATCCTGAAGCACTGCCCGTCGAGCGGACGATGTCATTGATTTGGTGTGAGCATGTATATTGCCCCATTTCTCCCACTCTAATGTGATGGAGGGAACTTGCCGAAGCAATGGTGAGACCCGCGTTCCCTTTCGTTTTGTCATTTTCTTTGCAATTTTCCGCATAAGTGATGAGTTTCTGCTAGTTACATTAGTTCCATCTAGGGGGCTGTTGCGTGCGGATGCCCGGGTAACACGTCTTACGGGCGAGCCAGTCGGATCCTGGGACCCTCCTACGGCACCTTATTGAGTTTTTGCCATAACCTGCAACATATAAGCATTAGGTTGCTGTGCGAAAAATCATACAACAATGCAAGTAGCTGACGAAGAACATACAACAATAGAAAACAGAGTTGATGAAATGAGATGATTGACTCAAAGTTGTTACCAAAGGTGTACTTGAACTGATACACCCTTACGACAAAAGTACCATATGTTGAGATGTGAAATTTATTCTGATGTTGGAACTCAAAAAGGAAGTGTGGTTGTCACACCATCAAAATGGGGGTGTTCACTAATCAATATTTATACACAATAAAAAATGTCCGCTTTCTTCCTTCACCACTACGGATATTCATCTTCAGAGGTTTCCTCCGAATACCGAGCTGAAATCTCTGCATTGTCAATCTGTGTTGTTCCATCAAGTAGCTGGCCCTCAACGTCTTCCCTTCGCCAATAGTCGGCAGCTTCTCTGGCATTGCCTCTGATCTAAAGCAAACCTAGTACTGAATCTATGATCGATTGTACTATACACTTCATATGTGTCCCGCCGAGTCACCGGAACAACAACACTCCAGTTCTCCTGAACCGGCTCTGCAATGTACCAAACATGATTGGCTTGGGTTGCCAGGAGAAATGGCTCATCAGTGGGCAAGTTCTTCGGATACATCAAATGATTGAAGTTCACAAGCTTATACTTGAACTCATCTTCTTTAACACCTCTCTCTGAATCCACCTAGTCACATTTTAAAAGAAGGTACTTCTGTGGATTGTCATAATACACCTCTACAATGTCTGTAACAATCCCGTAATATGCCACGGAACCTTCTCGTGGGTTATGGTTCCTAACGGAGTCGTAACTTACTATATCTGCCGTAACCATAACACATGCACATTGTGTCCTCTTTTCCGCATCCCGATCTTTAACCCGATAACGTATTCCAGAAACAGTGCACGGGGAGTACCGTGTTGCACTACATGATGGTCCACGGGCCAATGCACATATCCAATCCGAGATTGGGCAGACATCGTTATGCGTTGGATCATCTACCTACATTTGGCGTAAAGTAGTTGATGAACACTCATGGTTTCGATATTTTTTTTGGGGTGTTCCCGTGTAGGGTTACTGGTAAAGGATACTCACATGGAGGTGCACGACCTCGACTAGACCTAATACTATCAACGTGAAGCCTACAGTGCCAAAAGAAAATTGGAATATATTGAACATCAATAAAGAATGCATACAACTATTGTGAAGTTGAGGTGAAATAACCTTCGTATCGGACTTATTGCATCTACATTTCCTAGAATGTAACCATGAATCTGACGCATCGTATTGTAATCAAGGTTAAACCTAGAACCAAATAATCCTTTCTCGTGTTGTGTCCCTTCTTCATCACCTTGAACACCCAGGTTCTCTTTGGTCTCTATGTCCCCGAGATATCTTGAGCAGAAGGTCACGCACTCTTCCATAAGGTATCCACGTGCAATAGAACCCTAAGGTTGTGCCTGATTCCGTACGTACCTCTTCAGAGTACCAAGGTACCTCTCAATGGGATACATCTACCAGTACTGCACCGGACTGTTGACCATTGCCTCCTCAGCCAAGTGCATTGGCATATGCTTCATCACATCGAAGAATGAAGGTGGGAATAGCTTTTCAAGGTGGCATAATGTCAACGAAACTCTTTCCTGTATTCGCTCCAGCTCACGAACTATGTTGCTAGTTGAGCACACAAAATTGAAGAAGTTACAAAGTTCAATCAACACGAGCACAACATTTTTGGGAAGGCACTTGTAAGAAGTGATAAAGTGGCACTTGTAATTATGTTAAGAGGAAGCGTGACTTGTGTTAAGTAATATAATTGTGTTACAAGGGTATATCGTCGGGCTGTAATAGGAAGAAGTCGTTGCATAAGAATGTGGCAGTTGTGGCTCTTAAGACCCCATAGTAGTTGTTGTTGTACCCTAACACGACGTGATAAGTTTTAACTGAATCCATGAGGTGGTCATAGATCCTTCAACACAGATAGGAAGATTCATTTTTCCGGGTTACTCATAGTGTACGTAGCAACAGGCAAATATATAAAACCCCTCGGGCCGGAGACCTGGTGCGAAGAATTGCGTATTTGCAGTAACTGCAAGTCTTTCCTTGTGTTGAGATTATCCTTTGTTTTTACTTTAGTCCCCAACAATGTATACAATACATTCTCACACACATTCTTTTCAATGTGCATCAAGTCGAGGTTGTGACGTACTTCATTCTCGGCCCGATAAGGGAGCTCGAATAGAATGCTCTTTTTTTTTCTATGTACGTTGGTACACATCTACCTTCCGGATACGCTTTCGGGATCTCTATGCAACAACCTTCTGAATCAGATAAACCTTACGTTACTCAGTTCGCACATCCTGAAGCTGTTGGAGCAGTTCATTGGAAGTCAAGCGAGACTGCTTTGTCTCAAAGTCCATCATACCGTAAAATGCATGCTTATCATAGTGCATTTTATGCCCACTCAGTAGGAACCTTCGATGCCCACAGTAGCTATATTTGTGGCCATTTTTTAGATACCTGGAATGAGTTTCACACCACAAACAGGACATGCATTCGCCCCACGAGTTGGCCACCCTGACAACATACCATAACCTGGAAAATCACTGATGGTCCACAACAACGCAGCTCGTATCTAGAAGTCCTCTTTGCTTCTCGCATCGTATGTCCGAACACCGTCACACCAAAGCTCTTTCAACTCATCCATCAAAGGTTGAATGAAGATGTCGATCTGATCCCCCGGGCCATGCGGACCATCTATAATTGTAGAAAGGATGAACGATGGTTGCTTCATGCTTAGCCATGGAGGTAGATTATATACCACAAGTACTACGGGCCAAATGTTGTAGCTGACGTTCATATTTCCAAAGAGGTTGAAACCGTCAGTGGCCAACCCAAGGCGTACATTGCGAATACCCTCAGCAAACGTGGGGTACCGATGATCAAACCCCTTCCACGCAGGACTATCTGCTAGGTGATGCATCTTGCCATCATCGACACGCCCTTCGGCATGCCATCGCATAGAAGATAAAATTTTGGAAGATAAGAACCATCTCTGCAATCGGGGAATCAACGGAAAGTACCTCAACTTCTTCACGGGAAATCTATCTTTCCCTGTGTGAATCTTTTTTCCCCACGCACAACACAAGCTTCGCGGTGAACATCTTCCCCGATAAACAACATGCAATTGTTGATGCATGCATGGATAGTCTTGCATTTGAACCCCAAGTCCTTTGTGATCTTGTTAGCCTCGTACAAGTTCTTCAGGAGGACAACATTGTCTGGAAGTGCATCCCTTAAAAACTCTAACAACAAGTCAATAGATTTATTAGACCAGTGGCACAAAACCTTCAAGTGCAAAAGGCGAGCGATAGACAAGAGTCTGCTCATTTTTTTGCACTCTGGTATAAACTCATTCTCTAGATCTTCTAATATTTTTCTGTACCCCTTACTGCCACGATGTATATGCTCATCCTCCTTATCATTAAGAGGTTTGGTGTTACTGGGCCCCAACCCGATCTTCTCTGCTGTTACGCACTCTCGCAACAGAAGTTCTAGTTCATCCTCTCAACGCATTGGAACATTGTCTTCTGCAGCCGCATAGTTCACCTCTCCTTCCCCATGACAAGTCCAGACCTTGTAGGATTGGTCGAATCCATAGTGAATACAATGGATCAAGATATCCCTACGAGATTTTGTTATGCGATTTCCGCAGGATGTACAGGGACAGTAGATGGAAGCATCAGAGTTCCTACCTTTGAATGCAAAATCTAAGAAAGCCCTGACCCCATCCAAATATTGAGCCGAGATATGGTTTGCATCGTCTATCCAACTCTTATCCATCTAAAAAGAAAATATACATGTGATTCCATCAACATAACATGCATTCAAACTCGTAATACAGGCGTGCACCCTCAATTTAAAAGAACAAAGTTATAGCATCGGCTTTAAGAACCCGCATTTTTGTACCTATAAGTCCATGTACTGCATTTATAAGTAAAACATAATATTTATCACAACATTAAGGCTCATGGTTTAAAATCAACCATTATCTCCACTTCAGAACCTTTTATGGATGCAATTTCATGAGAATTGAATGATTTCTACGCTCCGCCAAAAATTCTAGTCCGTCATCTCTAGATACTAGAGCAGGAAGAATTATCCATACCCTACTTCTGTCAAGAAAAATTTCTAACTATTCTAAATTTTTTCTTGCCCTTTTGTATGAATATGAAAAAAAATCCTCAAATCTGATGTCCAAAGAATAATTCAAGTTTATGGGAATGCATACAACACTTAACTACACCACCACCCGAGAAAACATAGACCACTTAGAAGCTTTGCACAGTGGAAATGCATTAAAAAGAAATCAGACATTCCGTTAAGCTCAAGTCTGCTTATCATGAATTCACACGCACGCCTTTGTCTCCACAATTTAATAACCTGTTAAAAAAAACACAAGTTAAATATGCACTCATTTTCAATAAAAATAGCACAAACTACTATAAAAGTTAAACACGCACTACTTTACAATATCCATTCTTTATTGTAGGATTGAATTGGTACATGTATATCACTTTTAGTATTATATGTTGATGAAAGGACTGAAACTGCAACATAAGCCTTTGAATTAGTTCCTTCATTAATTTATCATAAGTGACTGCTGTTGACACTATAAATTCTAGGATCTCGACACTATGTGAAATTAACACACATACAAAAACCATGATGCATATTTTTTTCCACGGGTATACTTTGTTTTAGAAGAAGAACGAGGTTATTCACATTGTTTAGAAACAAATGACATTTATGTCTATGCAAGGCACATATTGTGTATTCATAACTAACACAATCTTCACAATATAAGGGGAAAACCGACGTTGTATACCTCCCTAACAGGAGTAACAAATATAAAAAACATGGCCAAATACTTTTCGATAGTCGAAAATCTTTCTTATGAAATCAGCAAAGATGTACTATTACATAAAATGTGTGTCGGGTCTCATACCAACTGTTTATTTAAATTTGAGATCAGAATCAGCTTTGATGTATCTATTTCCACCATGATTTTAGGTGTTTTGTAAGTTTAAAATCAGCATTATCATGTTCGTCATCTAAACTCTATTCTAATTGGTCGTGGCTCTAATTAAGTCTAAGATACAAGGATTAAATACATTATACAACACAGTGTTAGTTTTTTCAACCATTTAGATGCTTGCAAATGAAAAATGAGATACTTGAAGCCCATAATCATGCAGGATTTAGATACGATGACCTCCAGTTTTACCAGGTATTCAGAATTTTCTGCAGCTAGAAGATATAAAAACTAGAGATTAGGGTAGTACACATTTAAGGAATTTATCCAAAATTACATAACAGCAGATGCAAAATCAAATAAACAAAATGAGATGTCAACAGCCATAGCTGAAGAAAGTTGAATGCTGAAATATTCCTAGAACATAAGCCACATAAGTTGTCAATCACTTACCGGAGAAGGTGATGCTGGGTTTCGGAAAACTTTAGAACCTCCAGGAGCCTAAGGAACTGTTTACAGAAAAGGAAAATGAGCACTCACATATTGTTGCAATTAATAAGTGTAATGGTATTAATTGTATAAATTGATTTTGATGATTGTTGTATGAGATTAGCAAGAAACAAAACAATGTGGTTCCAATCATGTAATATCACACTATATGAGCATATCAAGATCAACATGCATCCTTAGGTTGCAAAAAATAAGATCCAATCGTTGATATAACAGGCTGCATCATAGATGCTACACGCCACATGTTTTGATATACATATTTAATTCTAGAAATAGTTAAACAAGGGTTACCCTTCAATTTCAAATATTCTAAAATATAAATAAGCATATTTCCAATCAAATATAACATAACAGTTATGATGAAAAATTTTAAGAAGACACAATTAAAATTAAGATAAAAAAATTTGCACATAACCTAGGGCAGCCCGCTTTGTAGATTTCAACTATGAAATCTCGTTCTAAATTTAGTTCAATTAAATCATACCAATCAACTAAGAAATCCTAGAGTCTTACTGGATATCATCAACAAATGATCTTTCTGCAAAAAAAAATTTAAACAATCGACCTCAATAGCTTGCTCTAGACACAAACCTGAACAAAGAAGAAGCAATCATGGCGTACCATAACCCACTCCCAAAATCGACTAGTTCGCATGAACCTAAAGAATCCATTTTTTTGTGTTCCTCAAAATATCGGTTTGAGAATGCTACAAACAAAGAACCGTAGGTCCACACTAAATCATAGTGGACAAAACTTAAACACCTTACCTGAACGCCGACGCCGGAGTAGCTTGTCAATCCCACCAATTTGACGATGATGGTTGTGTCGGCACAAGGAGGGGGGAGTACAGCACATGAAGGAGAATAGCGCGAGGGGCGGGGGAGAATGTGTGCCCTAATTTCTGTAGTTGAGATTTTTGGGTGAAGACTCGACAATGTGCATTTATATATATATTTTAATTTCAAATATTAAATTTAAATAGAAAAAAATAAATTAATATCATTAGTTACGAAAATTGATCATAACTAATATTATTTTGACCAAAGTTTACCATATCCTAATTGTTACGTAAAATTCTGCGTAACTACGGTGCCTGAAACGTTGACCGAACAAAAATTCTTTTGTCACGGATTTTATCGTAACCAAAATATCTATTTGTTATGATGATTTTGTTACGAATCCTCAGCCCGTGGTTATTACTCTGTTTTTTGGTAGTGTATAATAGAAACGTTGCTACAAAGCTATGTCTCTATTTTATCTCAATACTTTTTCAATGCTAAATTCAAGATCGACAAGTCTGGTATATACAAAACACATTCAAATCTAAAAGAAAACTTCAAGGAATATTTCATATATCGAAAGCAATCGAACTCGAACTTAGGTTACCGAACAGAAATCAACCGTAAACCAACTGTAGCACATAACCAAGCCCTAAACCACAACCGACATCCACGGAAACGTAACAAACAAGTGAATTGACCCCAATCTATGGAAGCATAAAAAATCTATGCCTAATCTCATCGCGGACAGACAATACACCACGAACTGTAAAGAAGGCAAAGATCAAGAAACCAAACCGAAAAATAGCCTCAGCACAGGCTGAATATCAAATCCAGCAGTCGAAGCTCCAAATTCGCCAGACAGATCACCAAAGAAAACCCAAGGAAGATCGATTGGAATCGCGGTCGGGATGTTAGGATTTTTACAGAGATGAATCACTAGGTGAATGTATGAATAAATAAATCCGGTCTGCGGTGGTTTAGGAGATCCATATAATAGATCAAGTAATGCAGATCCAATGGATCAGAACAAAACCCTCTATCCAACGGTTATGATTGAGCCTCGCATAAAATCAGGTCATGTCGCGGTTACTGGATCCAGGTTTCGTGTAGGGGTCAGGTTGTGCGCATTTGGGCCTCACAAGTCACTTACTCAAAACTCCACAAATCTCCACCATTTTTGGTACGGAGAAACTGCATATAAATGGGTGACATCATTGTCCGAGCATCAATAACTTTCAGTCTTTTAACCTGCAAACTTATTAACACGATTAGTATTCACAGATTTTACCCAACATACAAAAACAAAACTAAACCAGTATCTTAAAAGTAAAGAAACCAGTGCATTTTTCTTTTCAAATCAGAGTTTTAAAACATCAATTTAAAAACAGTAAATTACAGTTTTTATAGTTTCAAACACATTTCTAATCAAAAGTATCAATATACATTGTTTTCTTAGAAAAATTGAATTTCGTAATTGACAAAACCTTGGTTCCCATATCCGCAGGGTTGTATTCAGTTGGTATTTTTCAAGTTTCAAAAGACTTTTAGACATAACATCACGAATAAAGTGAAACCTAACGTCTATATGTTTGGTACGATCATGAAAAAATCGATTTTTATACAATTGAATACCAGATTGACTATCCGAAAAAACAGTGACATCATTATGCAAGTAAATAATTTTTTTTAACAGACCCTTTAACCACAAAGGTTCTTTTAATGCTTCAATTATAGCCACATATTCATATTCGGTAGTCGAAAGAGCAACTATAGGTTGGAGTCGTGACTTCCAACTAACGCATGATCCACATAAAGTAAAGATATAAAATGTAGTTGACTTCCTAGAATTTCTATCATTTGCGTAATTGGAATCCACATACTCATTTAGTTTAATCGTAACTTATGTGCTTACCAAAGGCTAAACCAACATCAATTGTACTAACCAAATATCTAAACATACATTTTAATGCATTCCAATGTTCTACAGCCGGATTAGACATATAACAACTCAAAGCAACTAATAGCATACGCTAAATTAGTTCTTATACACACCATCAAATACATGGTAGATTCTATGACATTAGAGTAAGGAATATTCTTCATGTAAATCACATTATTTTCAAATTTTGGACATTGTTCTTTTGACAAAATGAAATTAGATGCTAGAGGAACTGATGAGAATTTTTCATCACACATGGAATTTTTTTCAGAATTTTCTTAATATATGTGGACTGATTTAAAGACAGCATATTATCTTTCTTATCCCTCACTATATTCATGCCAAGAATTACTTTTGCATCCCCTAAATATTTCATATCAAATTTCTTGCTCAAACAATCTTTCACATGATTTATTGTTCCCAAACTAGGACTCATTAACAATATATAATCAATATGCAACAAGAAGATGAGATGTTTACATGCTATTTTAAAATACAAGTAATGGTCAAATTTAATACTAATGAATTCCAAAGATTTCATACATTCATCAAATTTTATGTTCCATTGCCTAGGGGATTGTTTTAATCCATAGAGTGATTTCTTTAAAAGACAAACATGATTAGTTTTACTTTTATCAAGATAACCCTCCGATTGTTTCAAGTATATCTTTTCGTACAAATCACCATGTATAAATGTTGTTTTTTATATCTAATTGTTTCAGCTCCCAATCAAAATTACATCTTCTCTCAAGCTATCAGAACTAATGCTTGGAACTACATCTGAATTTCCAGCACTGTAATCTGGATCAAAATTGGTTGATTAAGTATTAGTCATATCTGAAGCAGAATTCTCCATTAATTCATCCTCTGATTCGGCTAAATTATAGTAATTTTGCTCTACCTAATTTTGAGTATTATTAGAATCATTAACAGAAGAATTATCATCAATTAAGGACTACAAATATCTTCTCCCATCATGTGTGGATTCACTAGAAGGGCCCCACACATCGGAGTGAAGATATTCTAAAATATCTTTTGAAATTTTTTTACTTTCAATAGGTTTTTGGGAAAAATACATTTTATGATGTTTCTCTATGAAAGCCGTTTTTACAAAATGGCATATTTGAAAATTTTTCAAAACTAGAATAGTCAGATTTTTGCAAAATCTCTAATCCTCTATTATTTAAATGACCTAATCTTCTATGCTACAGTTCAGTGGTATCTTGGACAACATTAACACACACTTCAGATTTAACAACAAGTATAGCAGTCACAACATAGATGTTATTTCTCAAATCAGCCTTGAAAACCACTAAAGAACTCTTTGTAATTTTCATAAAATTCATTCTTCATTTTCCTTCTAGCCCTAGGGATGACAGACCAGCACAAGAAAGCTGATTATTAGACAAATTAGGAACATGTCTGACATTGCACAGTTTTAATACATTTCTTAAGTTAAACCTAAAAATAACAGTCCCTATCCCTTAACACTACAAACCCTGTTATGTGTCATTGTCACGTTGCAATTTGAAAGGGTTTTGTAATTGCGAAAAAATTCTTTGAAATGAGTCATGTCATAAGTGCATGCCGAATCTAATATCCATTTATTTTTTTTTAAAAAAAAATCAGTTATATTTGAACATTCAGCAGTTACAACAAAGATTTCACCCAAACACTCATCATGTAAAATCAAGTTTACTTATTCATTTAAAGTGGTATTAACAGGGTTGTCCCATTGCTCAAATTGTTACTATTATTAACATTGTTACGGTTTTTCTTAGGACAATTCCTAATGAAATGTGAAGGATCCCTACAATTAAAACAACGTTTAACATACTTAGATGGGGTTTAAGACCTATTCTTAGACTTATTGTAGACCTATTCCCTTGCTTATTGGAAAGGAACCATTCTTACTATGTCTAAAGGGAGATCTACCCCTAACATGCATGACTTCACCATGTGACTTTTTACTAGCTTTATAAAGTTGCAAGTCCATTTCTTTACTTTTTAGACCATTAATAACAACATCACGTGTAATCACATCCCTGTCATATTTTATTGTTGATTTTACATCTGAATATTAACTAAAGATTGCATTTAACAAGATACTAAAACTATAATTATCAATATTTTTATCCTCCGTCAGTTTTATATTTTGAATTAACTTGGTAAAAATATCTAAATTTTCATCTATTGCCTTAGAAAGGTCTAATTTGAAGCTAAAGCATTTTTCTAGAAGGTGTATCTTATTTTGAAGAGAAGTTTCAGTAAATATATTGTTTAATTTGTCCCACAAGTCCTTAGCCGATTCATAAACCCCTAATTTTCTAATTACATGGTAAACTAGATTCAAAATAATGCACGATGACGCTAGCTCATTCAACTCATTCCTCTTAGCAAGATGAAGATCTGCTGTTTGCTCTAGTTCAACGGCTTTAATCAATCTTTGAGTAATAAGAACACTTCTCATCTTTTGTTTTCAAATAGCAAAATCAATTTTTTATCAAATGGTTGTATATTAAAGTAGGTTTGATTTTCCATTTTATCAAATCTGATTTTAGAAATGGTTTCAGCTAAGAACATATTTAAAGAAAACAAATCGAATCACCTAAAATATCACTAAATCAGCCACAATCACTCACATACATATTAAAAAAAAAAAAGGTTTTAATGTTTTAACACAAACGACCACCAATGGATATGCAGAGACTCAAAACAGATTTGCAACTAAACACAGAAGAGCAAAACACACAAATACTAACGGATTTAAGGAGCAATTTCTTGTTTTCAAGAAACCAACTCAACTAATTGTTGGTATATGCAACAAAAAATTCTAACAGACTTGACAAATTTGCAAGATACATACAAAACAGTCGCAACAGTCACAGAACTGCCACAAAACAACCACGGCACAAATAAATCTCACATATAATATGGAAAAAACGAATTGTTACCGACTCCTAGCCCTGCAACAATTCTTTGACTTTCTTTTCATAATCCGCAAGGACTCCACCTATCAAAATCTAATTCCCTGCGCACTTAATACACAGATTAGTAAGGTTTGGATGATTCAACTAAAGAACACCATACAAATCAACCGCATAAGGATGATTTCAGATTTCAATCTTTTATATGATTTATTTTAGTCCTTCACAAGGAGAAACAAACTTTACATAAGTGAAAAAACGCCACTAAAAATAGGCTTCACTTCAATAGTGTTTCAAAAAAAAAAGATTTCAAAGACAATCTTGAGTCTATTTACAAAAACACCTTTTAGCTTTACAATGAGAACAAGTTGTTCAGCATTAGAACTCGAAATCAAACTTTCCAGTAAACAAATCAAGCTCCATACAGCTCTAATACCACTTGTAATGCTAAATTCAAGATTGACAAGTCGTATATTTGCAAGAAACATTCAAATCTAAAAGAAAACTTAAAGGAATCTTTCATATATCGAAAGCAATCGAACTCAGACTCAGGTTACCCAACAGAAATCAACCCATAACCGACATCCATGGAAACGCAAGAAACAAGCGAATCGACCCCAATCTATGCAAACATCAACAATCTATGTCTAATCTCATCGCGGATAGACAAATACATCACGAACTGTAAAGAAGGTAAAGATCGAGAAACCAACCTGGGCAACAGCCTCAGCAGAGGCTAGATATTGAAGCCAGCAGTCAAAGCTCCAGATTCTCCGGACAAATCATCGGAGAAAACCCAAGGAAGATCGATTGGAATCATTGTCGGGATGTTAGGGATTTTAGAGATGAATCACGAGGTGAATGTATGAATGAATAAATCCGATCTGCGGCTGTTCAGGAGACCTATATAACATATCAAGTAATGCAGATCCAATGGATCATATCAAAACCCTCCATCCAACGGTTATGATTGAGCCTCGCATAAGATCAGGTCAGGTCACGATTACTGGATCCGAATTTGGGTGGTGGGTCGGGTTGTGCACATCTGGACCTCACAAGTCACTGGCCAAAAACTCTATAAATTATTAGTTACTAATAACTAATCACTATAGAAGTAATTATTAAATTTAAAATATAATTTTATTTTAATAAATTGGACTAAGCCCACCTTCATGGGTCCGGACACGGCCTGGTTGATTGGCGTACCGGATCAGGCACAGTCCAAAAAAGTTTGTGATCTTTTTGGAGGTCCAAACATAATTCTTTTATATCGTATTCGAATCGAATTTTCGAACTATGCTTATTTTTACTCGCAATATCCAAAATAAATAAGTAAAATATATTCATTTTTATTTTATACTCTAAATTTTCTATACCAAACACATAATTTAATTTCCAAATGAAATACTCCCTCCGTCCCATAACTATAGTTTGGGTTGTGTTCGATACGGGATTTAAGGAATATTGATATTATATTAGTAGTGGGTAAAAAGTACAGGTAAAAGACTTTTTTGCCCTTGTGGGTGTATTAGTATAAAAAGTAGTGGCAATTGTGTAATAATAATGAAAAAGTAAGGATAGTTTTATACTGATATAATTATTTATGGAAATGAGACTATTGTTTTAAGACGGATAAAAATAGTACTATTTGTTTTTGCAGCACAATTTTTCCTAAGGGAAAAAACGGCACATCAAATAATACAATATTATAAAAATAATATTTGGATGTGCAGTATTGGTGAAGAAATTAACAATAATACCTCCCCTAACCCACCTACCCACCCACTCACCTACTAACCCATACAAATAAAATTAAATTATTTAATGAGGACATATATATTAAAGTAAATATTTAAATAAAGTAGGCAATTTGATTGGGATTCGTCTATAAATAAGATGAAGCTGAAGCCATTGGGAAAGCATAAACAAAATAATTTTTATAAGTTATATCGAATTGAATTTATTTATTTTATTTCTCCCAAATCTTTCTCTGTAACGATGAAAGAGAAATTTTCATGCACCATTCTCCAGAGTGAAGCCCTCACTAAGGTATTTATTTATTTATTTATATTTCGTATTTATATTTGTCTATTATTTAACTATTTTAGGGATTCGGCGGTGGCCGGAGATGGACAGCCGCCGAATACGGTTGCCTGACGGAGAAATTCATTAATATTTCTGGTGGCTGATAATATATTTATATATATATATATGGAATTTTAAGTGTGCATGCATTTGTATCTATATTTAGGTTAAGCATTTTTATTTTTATTATTATTATTATTATTATTGGAGTTGATTTATACAGTATAGATATATATATATATATATTGCAATTTACTTATTATTATTATTTTAATAGAATATAATATTTAGAGATTACTATTTAAAAAAAATAAAATTAAAATCAAATTTGAATAGAACACATGCTATTGTGTTTTCCCATGTTTTGATATTTTATAATTATTTTAAAAACAGAAAAAATAAAAAAATAAAAAAATAAAATAAAATTGAATGACAGGATAAAACTACTGTGTATGATGTGTTTATCTGATGATATTTTTTATTTAAAAAAAAAAAACTTTTTATTTAAATAGTATGTTAAATGTTATGTTTTATAGGATGAAGCTATGTAATATAGTTTTATATACTGTATAACTAATAATTGTAAAGTAAACGAATAAAGAAGGAAGTAAACTTAGCTAAGAATTGTAGTTTGTATTATGAATATTTGGATTATTTTTAAATTTGATTAAATAAACAATAAATTTCAATTGCGAGATTTGTTAGAATGAAAATTAAGCGTATTGATTAAATAGTAAAGAAATATATATATATATATACATATAAAAAACATTTATTAGTATATGTTAATTTAATTCAATTTATTTAAATTATCATGCAGTATCTTTTAGAAACAAGTGCTTATCCACGAGAGAATATACTGCTTAAAGAGCTCAGAGATGCCACAGTCAACAAATACGAGCAGCTGTAAATATTCCTTATTATTATTGTTACAAAAATAAATTTGTTGTAATTTATAGTATGGTTAATAAATTAATTTAATTTTCAGGAGTAAGATGAATGTGCCTGCTGATGAAGGCCAACTTTTATCGATGTTATTGAAATTAATGAACGCCAAAAAAACCATCGAAGTTGGTGTATTCACAGGATACTCACTTCTAGCCACTGCCATCGCCCTTCCTAAAGATGCTAAAGTAAGTATCATCATAATAAAAAAAAAAAAAAAAATTGAATAGAAAATAAAATTTTGATATGATATAAATAGATATTCAATATAATATTAAAGAAATAAATTTGAATGTAATTTTTTTCGGAGAGTTTATTTTAATAGTGTGGAAGAAGATTGAAAATATATGGAAACAAAGTAAATTGATTGGATGTAGTATACAATTAAATTGAATTAGGTGGTAGCGATCGATCCGGACAAAGAAGCATACGAGGTAGGGCTTCCGTACATAAAGAAAGCCGGCGTCCAACACAAAATCAACTTCGTTAATTCTGACGCCATGGCCGCCATCACTAATCTCATTGATGATGTAAGCATTTTTATGCCGTAATATATACTCTCTATTATATATATATACACTATATTTACCTTGTTTTGTCTCAATATGATTTTTTAAGTGTTATAATTTCCATGGTTTATTTTTTTATTGTTTTGTTCTCTTTTGTGATGTTTTATAAACTATTTTGATAATTATAAAAAAATAAAAAAAATAAGTAAAAACTAAAAGAAAAATTGCAAATATTATAAGACACTTTAAAATAGAAAGAAATAGAAAGCAAGGATGGAGGAAGTATATTGTCATCACTCTTTATTATATTTATTATTTGATTTAGGGCGAGGAGGGGACGTTTGATTTTGCATTTGTTGATGCGGATAAAGAGAACTACATAAATTACCACGAGGAGTTGCTAAAGTTGGTTCGGGTTGGGGGTATTATCGCCTACGACAACACCTTGTGGTCCGGGACGGTGGCATTAGACGACAATGATCTAACTCAAGAATGGATCGATAAAATAGGGAAGAATCGCATATTTCTTAGGACACTCAACACATTTCTTGCATCTGATCCACGGATCGACTTGGTTCAGCTCTCCGTTGGGGATGGCCTTACGCTTTGCCGACGCCTTAAATAAAATAATAAAATTTTAATTTATAACTCCATGCTTAATTAAGTTTTGGCCTATGTCATTAATGTTGTTTTGAACCCTTCTATTTTAATTTATCGCAAAAAGTGTTATAGTTAATTTACTTTTTGTTGTAACAATAATTATGGTTGTCACATGTTAATTTGAGGCTATTTTGTTGTAGTATTTTCTTTTTGGTTTTTTATTTTTTTTTATCTTTAATTTTGCTCCTTATCTACTTCTAATCATCAAAAGGTTTAATAATTATGATTCTAACTAAGCGTTTGTTTATGGGTTTTGGAGGTAGGTTAAAGGTTAATTTTTTAATTAAAATAATTGTTTAAAATAAAATAAATAAAAATTGATGTGATATTTTTTAAATATAAAATTATTTTTTGATACAATATAATATAAAAATAAATAATTAGAATTTAATTAATTATTTATAGTGGAAAATTAGCAAATACTAATAATATTTGACGATTACGGTGCTAATTTAGAAAAATCAGTATAGTACTATTTTTTTTATAACATTGTTCAAGTCTTCAGAAAATACGTAGGAATTATTCCGATAGTATCAATAAAAAATTCAGATAGCACCAAATATATACTCTATATACCACATTATATAGTTTGTAGAACATTTCTATAGATCACCAATCATATTTCTATAGAACACTTGAAGAACAAGCAAATAACACATAAGTCTTATTTTAAGAGTACAATGCTATCTACACTATATTTTCTGAATATTCTTTGAGGAAAATGAGGGTTGGAAGTACACAAACCAACCGAGCTTAAATTTCTCTACTTAGTACACTCAATTGTTTGTTTGTTCACTTTTTTATATTTTCAATTTTGTTTCAACACTATCCATTAATATATTATTTTTAAGAATTATTATTATAAGTATTTATTCATTATTAAATTTTTTATTATTTCAAACGAATCGAAAACCCAAAAATACTTTTAAAACATGTGTAAACACCAACTTTGATAGTGTAATGCCCACTAAACAATGTCGACATGATCAACTTTTTATTTTATATTTTATATCATGAGAATGAAGTGGGTAAGAAAGCATAATAATTTTAAAAGTGAACGTAAGTAATGATTATATTTTATGTAGAAAAGAAAAAATAAAAATAAAAATAATAATAAATAAAGATGTGTTTGGTTTGTACCATAAAAAATAATAATAAATAACGATGTGTTTGGTTTGTACGTATGAGTTTCGTTTTTTATTTAAATTTAATTTAAATGGTATATTAATATAACATTTTATATAATAAAATATTGTATTTATGTTAGAAATAATGAACATTAGATAGTTAAATTAAAAAAAAAAAAAGGATAAAATGTAAATACTCATTACATTACCACTACATTTACTATTAAAATAATAATGATAGTTTTTGGGTAAGGATTAGAAATCATAAAGAAAAATTAATTTTATATAAAATATATTTTTGCGATGGACGGTTAAGAAATTTTATATTCAATTTTAAATTTAGTAAATTTATATTTAAATTTGATCTTATTCATAGATAGATTATTAGATTTTAGTATACCGAGTCTATTGTGTATTGTTTATATATAGGTCTTTTATTTTGATGATTAATAATACAATTTCATTATTTTCTCAAAAAAATTATAACATGATATTAGAGCCTACTTTTCTCCTGCAGTAGATATAGTCTACCAACATGTGTTTCTCCTGGTACATTCAACCTATAATGTACCAGAGGTTTCCCAATTTTGAGATTTTTTTATGTATAGTTTATAGTCCTTTTTATTTCTAATTTTGATTTTGTTTTTAATTCTGATTTTGTCTACATTTGAAGTCATGTCTGCGCATCAGTCTGCGATTCTGCTATTCGTCTGCTGCCCTGTTTTTTATTGCATTGAGGGTCTCATTATTTCCGACTTTGTGGAAAATACTCCCGTCGTTTTCAGCTCTAGTAGAGAGTCATGTCGTTTTCGAGTCCGTTGTGAGTTCTGTTATTTTCGATTGTAATTCAGTTGAGAGCATTGTTTTTAGCTTTAATATGGTAGAGGAGCGGCGGCAAAGACAAGCAATTGTTATTTTTATTTGCTGTCTTTTGCGTCTGTATTCAACTTTCTTATCAAAGTCAAGTTGATATTTTTATACCACTTGTGTTTAAAGGGATGTTGAGATATTTTAAATATTTAGTTTTAGATTTAATAGACTTATATTTAGATTTGATCTTATTCATATATTAGATTACTTAGATTTGAGTTTATCGAGTCTATTTTATATTGTCTACATAGAGGCCTCTTATTTTGATGATTAATAATACAATTTTATTATTTTTCCCCAAAAATTCTAATATTTATGATATTTGAACATAATATGTGCTCGCGGAACCATTATTTTTTGTCATGTCATTTTTCATAACAAATCTTTCTGGTCAACACCCTAACAATTTTTTTTTATGTAATTTAATTCATGATAAATATATACATATATATATATACATCCTTTTTCGTACGAAGTCATCCATAACAACGCACATTGTAAAAGAAATAATTTATCACGATTTTTTCTAATTTTGTTACGGCTAGCAGAACAGAACTTTTCTTATGGTATTTGTTACGCACTTGAAATTCAGTAGAAAATATATATATATTGTTCACACATTAATAATATAAAATTGGTTATCACGCATACAAAAAGGATTGAAATTTGTATCGTTCATATTTAGAACATCTCCAATCCATTACTTTTATTTTTACAATAGCTACAGTAAAAATACAGTTGTTTTATAGTAATTTTACTCTAATCATAAACTTCAATTTTCACTCTAAAAAGTATATTCCCGGTATATTCTTATTTTATATTATTTTATATAACTTTTTATATTTATAAATTACACCCCAACTTTAATTTATTTTTACAATATAACCCATATATATAATTACACATTATATATCACTTTTCGAAAGATAAAATTATATATCACTTTTTAAAAAATAAAATAACACATTATTCTTAAAAAAATAAAATTATACATTATTTTTTTTAAAATTTAAATTACATCTCATTTTTCTAAAAAATAAAATTATACAATATATCCAAAAAAAATAACAAAAATACACAAACACCACAAAAATATCACACAAACTCCACTCCATACAATGTTACTCCAAATACAACGCTGCAAAAATAGGGGTTTTGATGCAATTTTTCAACAATAAAAAGTAAAATCCGAAAATAAGAAATTATCTTCGAGTTTGATATAATTAGTGTCTGAGATTAGGAATTTCTAAACACTGTAGGATATATAAATAAAATAGAAAAATAAAACTACAGACTTGAAAATAAAGTGGTGATCCCCAAAGGTAATTCTTTTGAATTTGATGTCGATTGAAGATGATTAGTCAGAATAGACCCGACTCCTTAAATAACCCCTTAAAGAAACGGTTTGAACCGCCGTCTGGTCGGTTACAGCAACCGCTGTCAACCGCCCATAAAGTCTTCTTCTGTCGACACGTGTGTTAACCGACTCACCAACCGCTCGCGCCAGTTACAGCACTCAACTGTCTCGGCCGACCGCTTCTGAAAACCTCACTGCCTTAAATGGACGGCTGGTCCCGACCGACTACTCAACCGCCCAGCAATAACCACTGGCTTCTTAGACTGGTCGCTAGACCAAACGACTCATCGGCCACCCCATCAAACGACCACCATCTGATTTCTCCAATCGGCTGAACAATGAATCATCCAGACGATTCAATGGTCGCCCCAACCAAGCTACTGAACTACTGTTTACTTAAGTAGGCGACCAATTAACAGACCTTTTTTCGACCGACCTCAGTATCAGCCGTCCTTCTTCGCCCGACTTCCTCTTTCGACCGACCTCCGTATCAGCCGTCCTCCATCCGACCTCATTTGGTCCGACCGCGAACCATCCTACAGCGAACCAACCGACCGGCTCTCTTTGCCTTATCTCCTTAGATGGACAACTGGTTCAACAGACTATCCTCTTGACAGACCTCCGCGTCTGCCGATACTTCTTCTTTGCCCGACCTTATCACGTCCGATCTCCATGCCCGACCTTGTCTTGTCCGACCTCCGTATCTGACTTTATTACGTCCGATCCTCCGTGCCCGACCTTGTCCCGTCCGACCTCCGTATCGGCTGATCATCTTTCCTTGTCCGACTTTCTTTTGCCTGACTTCTGGGCCGTTTGGCTTATATTCAGACTCATCCAGATCTTACTGCCATTATTTATTATTATTATTATTTTTTGTGCTCAATAACTTGCCTCCTCCCGCCCAACTCCTAAGCGTCACTTCTCGGGACGTTTAGAAGTTTGCAGGCCAGCATCCGAGGCCACGTTAGCCCTAGATCCGACCTGCATCATCCGAGGTCACGTCAGCCTCTGATCCGACGTCCATCTATTGCGTACTGGTGGTGGCCTGCGCGTTGGTCGATCTCGCATTATAATTTCAGCCACCATTTCTTCAGCACCTCCCCATTGTTCGTCGTCTGGTGGATGCGTCTCTCTAAAAAAGGATTCTAACCTCCCCGCTTTGGATGCTAAAATGGCCAGATCTTGAATGTCATGGGCCGTTAAAGCCTTCCGCAGTCGCGTGTGCATATTCCTGACCATCAAGTTGGTCATCTCGCTCTCCTCAATGACTGTCGGGCAACGCCCCTTCATTAGACGTGTCCTTTCGATGAACTGTGAGGCTGACTCTTCTGGACATTGTTTCATTTCCAACAAATCAGAAAGAGAAATGGCTGGTAAAGGGTTGAAGAATCTAGTATGGAATGCCATCTCTAAACCTTCCTAGGTTTGTATTTGCCAGGTGGCAGATTCACAAACCATGAAAAAGCTGTCCTGGTAAGAGACAAACCAAATAGTTGCAATTTATAAAAAGGGTTATTACCGACTTCTCCTAACTATGCTGTGAACCGACCCACATGTTCTATGGTGGAGGATCCGTCTTCTCCTGAGAAAGCATGAAAGTCTGGCGGTCGATAATTCCTTGGGAGAGGAAAATTGTTAATGATCCTTTCTGGAAAAAGGCCTCTGATATGCCGGTCTATTCATCGTTTGTGGATTCATTCCGAAATGCACCCGCAGAACTTGAACGATGTCTTTCGGATCCACTCTAGGTGGAATAGGATCGAACACCGGAATGGGATTATGGGCTTG